CTGGCCTCTGTTAAGCGAGTTGGGGACCTGCAGGCGCTGTCAGTTGACGACTCGTTTATTGAGGGCCAGGTGATTGCAGACTCAACTTAAAGCCTAGGAAGTGTTATGTGCCTAAAGTGCTTTCGACTCCATTTAAAGCGCAGGTCAAAACACTATCTGCTTTCCGTCCCGAAACACTGGCCGGGCCGGAGCCGCTTAATACACTTTATTATGTGCCCTGTACGTGTGGTGCACATTTATACCGAGCGCTGTAGACCGTTCAGGCTCTCGGACCAGCTATTTGTATGCTGCCTGTGTCCAAGCAAAGGCTGTCACACTGGATCGTCGACACAATTGCTTTGGCTTATGGCTCTAAGGGTGTGAAATATCCTATAGGGGTTCGGGCCCACTCAACCTGCGGACTCGCGTCCTTGTGGGCCTGGGCAAATGGCATATCTATTCAGGACATTTGCATGGTGGCAGGCTGGTCGTCACCCAGCACTTTCGCGAGGTTTTATAACCTAGATGTGTCGTCGCTTGCCTCACATGTGCTGTCAGTGCGAGCAGCGCACGTGCCTACTCAGCCTCAGTTATGATCTGAACTGCTTGCCTCAGTGGTTTCGACTAGGTCGTATAAACCCCCGTACTGACGTACCACTAATTCAATGCTGTCCCTATCAGCTTATCACATTGTTATGATATTGTTCATCACGTCTTTTAGGACATGATCACCATCATACTCTGCTTATTTGAGCGGAGATACGGCCGTTGCATCATAGCACATAATTTCATTGAAATTAAACAAACTTCAACTAATCTATATGTGATGGCGGCGGAGATGCTCTTATTGCCGTGTCACCTAGCTCAGGATCTTAGAATGCCAAGTTGCTTCAGTCAAGATTCTGAATAGATGACGTACAAGCGCTGCTTTATATAGAGTGGGAGCCCCTCATATTTCGCGCGCTTGAACGCCATTGGCCAGTTTCACTGGCGTGATTCAATAAGGCTTCAGTAGTATTTGGAGGAAAGGGTAATTCCCATAGCAATGTCTCGTTCCCTCATCTCAGGGAACCGAGGTTACGTGAGTAACCGAGAGCGTTTTCTCTTCCTCTTCTCTAAAGCATGGCCTCACCCCCTTTGCTGCCTTTTCCCGAGGGTGGAGATTATCTGGGTTTGTTACGTCACGAACCCGGGAAGTATTTTGTTGTAGTCCCTACCAGCCGTTTTTGTAGGCATTAAACTGCCAGAATTTTAAAAGACGATATCTCCGTTTGCATTGAACTTTCAGCTTTGTAACTTTGCAGATATTGTTTATGCTCAAACAGCAACATTACACACTAACTAACGTTAAAAAAGTGAAATCGCAATGAACCACCCCTTTAATATAAATTTGAATTTTATTATTTTTTACTTAATTGCAGTTAACATACATTGAAGTCTTTTTCACTAGGGATGTGTCTCAGTTTGTGTGTTTTTGTACTTCAGGTAGGATGAGGGCTCTGCTGCTTTCACATGGCATTCATGTCAACATTGTGCATCTGATGCAGAAACACGCGAACTCCAGCGCTGTGTGTGAAAGTGCCTGCAGACTGCTTCACACACTCTTCCAGGAAGCGTAAGCACACACGACTCCCACATATGTGTTGTATATGACAGACAAAAACATACAGCTGGAATCATACTTTTATGTCACTCCAGGAGGGCCAGTCTAGATGATGGGACCTTGATGCTCGGTCAAATCCTGACTGCTCTGAAGACACATAACTTCATTCCTGAAGTTCAGCTGGAGGGTCTCAGAGCGAGTCTAGTTCTTCTCAGTCCGGGTAGATTGTCTGTCTGCTTCCTGTCTCTTGCTTTGGTTTTGTTTTTGGAATGAATCTGCAAGAGTTGTGTTTTTATTTCATTAATGGAATAGTTAAAAAAATTACTTATTTACTCACCCTCATATTGTTCCACACTCGTGACTAAATGATGACAGAAAAGTTTTTTTTGGTGAACCACAGTGCCTCCATATATAATGTCTGACTCTTTGTCTTCTTGTGTGTGCAGACAGGAGTTTAAGAGAGCATGGCTCCTCGGTGGCGGATCCTGACACAGTGGATGTTTCGCTGCGGGTGCTGAAGAACCAGTGTGTACTAGAGGGAGCTCACACTGTCTATCTAGAGGCACTTAATAGGGTAAATGCTGTATTTCTTACAAGCTAGAATAGTTCTGTAATTCAGCATGGACATTAATGCTAAAGGAAAACATAGCCAAAATACATATTAAAGCTGAAGTGTGTGATTTCTGTTAGATGTTAAAATATTTTCTTCTATCTCAGCTTAATATGCAGAGACAACTAGCATATCGCCACAAAATTATGATTTAAACATCTTTACAGCTCAAAATGCATAAGGATTAAAGGGATAGTACATCAAAAATGAAAATTCTGTCATCATTTATTCACTTTCATGTTGTTGCACACCTTTTTGAAGACTTTCGTTTATCTTCAAAACACAAACGACAATATGTTTAATGAAACCTGAGAGATTTCTGTCTCTCCGCTGAAAGTCCATTCCACCAATACGTCAATGCTTCAGAAAGTTCACAAAGGCATTGTAAAAGTGATATGAATTGAGCAATTTAATCTGAGGCTTCTGAAGGGACAGAATGACAGATTTAATTTAGGCTTTAATACACGTAAACAGTGATCGACACGCAGAACTCATCAGATATGGTAAACAGAAGCTCAGATATGCTTTCATGACCTGCTAGAACCAAGTACGGTTAAACTGCTGTTTATGGACTACTTTTACAGTGTCTTTAAACACTTTTTGAAGCTTGAAAGTTTTGGTAAAATAGACTTTAAATAAAGAGACAGAAAATTAAACACATCTTCATTTCTGTTGATGAACGAAATGAACGAAAAACTGTAATGGGTTTGAAGCAACATGAGGATGAGTACTGTAACTGATGACAGAATTTTCATTGTTTGGGGTGAACTGTTCCTTTAATATACTTAAAGCGGTCATATGATGTTGATAAAAAGAACATTATTTTGTGTATTTGGTGTAATGAAATGTGTTTATGTGGTTTAAGGTTCAAAAAACACATTATTTTCCACATACTGTACATTATTGTTTCTCCGCATTGCCCCGCCTTTCTGAAACGCGTAGAAGCTCATCGGTCTGAAAAGCAAGGTGTGCTGTGATTGGCCAGCTATCCAGTGCGTTATGATCGGCCGAATACCTCAAGCGTGTGCCGGAAATGTTACGCCCTTACCATACTGTGATGCCCTGTCCGGCCGGAGCGTAACATAAAACCATGTCTGCATTTGTGATTGGAGAAATGACAAACAACAAACTCTACTCTACACTGCCCAAAAAACTCGCTTTAAATATAAAAAATATAGTAGACATGTGGGGGCGTGTTAGAATGAGCCATTTTAGGTAGGCGTGGCTGACTCTTAACTTTTATAAAGAATATCTCTTTGGATTTGAGACTTTAGTCTTTGCAACTTTAAGTAAAAGTGAAAGTGAAAAGTGAAAGTGAAAGGACATGTGGCCAAGTATGGTGACCCATACTCGGAATTAGTGCTCTGCATTTATCCCATCCAAAGTGCACACACACAGCAGTGAACACACACACACACCGTGAACACACACCCGGAGCAGTGGGCAGCCATTTATGCTACGGCACCCGGGGAGCAGTTGGGGGTTCGGTGCCTTGCTCAAGGGCACCTCAGTCGTGGTATTGAAGGTGGAAGAGAGCGCTGTACATTCACTCCCCCCACCTACAATCCCTGCCGGTATGAGACTCGAACCCACAACCTTTGGGTTACGAGTCCGACTCTCTAACCATTAGGCCACGACTTCCCTCACGTTTCTTTACAGATCTTCTTTATGCACCAAGAGCCTGTAACACTCCCAACGAGAAAGGAAAAATTGAAATCGCATCATATGACCCCTTTAAGAAAAGACATGACCTTCACTTCTCATTTTACACCCTCTCAAATGCCTCTCCTCATAGACTTCCATAGCAATTTCATTACTGTAAAAAAAATTTTTTTTGCTAATTTTCAATGGAAGTCAACAATTTGCCTGAAATGCTGTCTATAGGCTTTAACTTGTACTGGACCCGTAACTTTGCTTTTAGGATAGAATTGGACTTTAATCAGGTGGTTTTAGTTTAAAATTTAAGTACAGAGTGCCTGGTGGGCAGTGCGCCGACATATAGCTCTGTTGCGCCTCAGGCTTCCCGAGTTCGAGTCCCATTTCACTTCCTGTCAACATACTGTCCTATCATAATAAAGGCGAAAAATGTCAAAAATAAATATATATTTTTTTTAAACTAAGTACTGTAAATGTGGTGGGTGTTTCATTTGTTATGTGTGTTTAGTTTATCAGTAGTGAGGAGATTCAGGAGTGTGGACTTGGTGTGCTCTCAGCACTAGCTGACTGTTCTGGAGCGGTTGACCTCATGTGCCAGCAGGGGGCGATAGATACGGTTCTTCATACGCTGCAGATATTTCCACAGGAACATGGTGAGTCCATGAGATCTCCAGCCTCTGCTTCTAATCCCAGCCAGACTTTTGAATGCCAACATTTGGGCTGCTTATTCTGCCCAAAAACCACCTACTGTTCAGGAGTTCATGTAGAACGTGTTTCTGTGTTCCACTATGCTGCTTTTCCATAGTTTTTCTATTTAAACATGCGCTTAACTGACATGTTTGACCATTGCGCTCTTGTGTCACATATTGTGTGATGATATTTAATGTTTAATTTAATTTTAAAAATCACAAGGCGGTATTACTTGCATATTTTATGATGTAGAATAAGTCGTGAAAAAATGTCAAGCGTTGAACCAAAAACCCATTCACTTCAGGATGATGGAACTGGAAGTACTAAAAACTTGTTTTTTTAATTTTGGCCTACAAAAATATGTCATCCCTGCAGCACTCTATTGGGTATGTAAACATTTGAGCACAACTGTATATTAACTGAAAATCATCACCCTTTGTAGAAGTTCACTACTGGGGTCTTAGTCTTCTGTTTCACCTCATCTCTAAGAAGAAGCTCTCTCGCATGATGGTGCCTGTACTGGCCTCAGTTTTGGTCAGCTCTGTACGGCAACACAAAGAGGACACAGTCATGCTTCTAAAGGTAGCTCAATACAGTTATTACCAGTTCATAGTCAAAAGGTTTGTTGTTTTTGATGTTTTTTTTGTTCCTAACAGTGTGTTTTGGTCATTAGGGTCTTCAGGCGGCGTGGAAGTTGTTGGACACCTGCTCGAGTGCCGCAGCGTGGCTGCAGAAAGAAGCCTTCGAGAAAGACATCTTCCAGATCCTGCGGGAAAAGACGGCAGACCAGCGCCGAGATCCAGTAAGAAAATGAAACCAAAAGTTCTTAAACAAGTCAGGAACCCCTGATAAAACCCTACATTTTGTTCTGCTTCAGCTGCAGGGAATGAGTTGCCTGTGCCTGTCTAAGATGGTGGCGGACAGTGAGATCCTGTACACGCTGCTGGAGAGAGCGTGTGAGGACGGCGATGTGGACATGGCAGAATGTCTCATCCATCTGGGTGCTGACATCAACAAGAAAACAAAGAGCGATTCACTTATATATCAGGTGTGATATATAAACTTCAATTCCTTAAAGGGACAGTTCACCCAAAAATGAAAATTCTGTCATTAATTACTCACCCTCATGTTGTTCCGATCCCGTAATGGTGTGTTCACAAAAATGTGCAACGCGTTTGCCGCGAACGCGCTATATTCGCCTCAATATTGACTGAAAAATTTCAACTCAAGCGGAAAGTTCGCATAACGCATTGTCACGTAAGGGTAAGCCAATCAGCGCTGGAGGTGGCAGTCATCCATGAGCAGTTCCTGGAGAAGATGGTGTAATTCACAGTTTATAAACTTCAATTCCTTAAAGGGACAGTTCACCCAAAATTCTGTCATTAATTACTCACCCTCATGTTGTTCCGATCCCATAATGGTGTGTTCACAAAAATGTGCAACGCGTTTGCCACGAACGCGCTATATTCGCCTCAGTATTGACTGAAAAATTTCAACTCAAGCGGAAAGTTCGCATAACGCATTGTCACGTAAGGGTAAGCCAATCAGCGCTGGAGGTGGCAGTCATCCATGAGCAGTTCCTGGAGAAGATGGTGTAATTCACAGTTTTGTGCGCCGTGAACCCAGACACGTCGGCGTTTAGCTTTCCGGTGTATTTGGGACTTCCACAAAAACAGGTTCAAAGCAGCGATCGTAGTTATTTCCACCATGATTGATGAACATCCCGTGAGTAATCAACTATGGTATCGCTGCTTTGTACATGTTGTGGAAGTCCCTAAAACGCCGGAAAACGCAGATGTGTCTGGGTTCACAGCACCATACAGAGGCGCACACAACTCGGTGAATTTCACCATCTTCTCCAGACTGCTACAATAATGCCCTCCTCCATTTTCTGATACAACCGGACGTGTCAATAAGCTTTTAGCTGAACGCGTCAGGTGAATTTTCTGCTTGAGTTGAAATTTTTTAACTTGAGCGGAAGACGCGAATGAAGCGAATATCGTGTGTTCGCGTCAAACGCGTCGTGCATTTCGCGTCATTCACGTCGCCTGGTGTGAATTCGCCTCTATTTGCGTGTTTGTATTGACTTTGTATGTAATCTACTCGCACGAATAATTAAATTTGCGTTTGGTGTGAACACACCATAAGACTTTCGTTCATCCTCGGAACACAGTTGAAGATATTTTAAATTAAATCCGAGAGGTTTCTGTCCCTCCGTTGACAGCCTAAGCAACTTTCAATTCGAAGGCCCAGAAAGGTAGTGAAAACATCATGAAAGTACTCCGTGTTACTCCAGTGAAGAAAATCTTGAATATAGAATATTGTTTTTTTTGGATTTTTTTTTTTCAAAAAGCATTCCTGTCACTTAAGAAAATTACAGTTGAACCACTGGAGTAACACGGAGTACTTTCATGATGTTTTCACTACCTTTCTGGGCCTTCGAAGTGAAAGTTGCTTAGGCTGTCAACGGAGGGACACAAGCCTCTCGGATTTAATTTAAAATATCTTCAGTTGTGTTCCGAGGATGAACGAAAGTTTTAGGGAATTGGAACGACACGAGGGTGAGTAATTAATGACAGAATTTTCATTTTTGGGTGAACTAACCCTTTAATTCTTAAAGGAATAGTTCACCCCAAAATGAAAATTAGCCCATAATTTGTTCATCCATTCTAGATATGTATGCCTTTCTTCTTTCAGACGAACACAATCAGAGTGATATTAAATCATATCCTGGCTCCTTTCTTTCAGGAAAGCCTGACTAATATATAACTGGACTTTGGTTGTCATTCCTAGCCGTAAAGAACAGGTTGCTGTGTTTGTGCAGGTTTGTGATCGAGGGGCTCCTCTGGCTCTGCTGGAGCTGCTGGTTTCTGCAGGAGTTCATGAGCAGCAGTTACGTGGAGCTCTGAGCGTGTGTGTCAGGAGGGGCGATGACCCTGCCATCACCCTACTGCTCGGCCGTCTGGGGCTGGACCACGCCAACAACGCCCTGTGCCTCGGGAGCTTCCGCCTCGGACAAATGAAAGCGTCGTGGCTCAGCGCTCTGCTCTCTGAACGCAAAACTCAGTCTCCAGTCAACAAGAAGAACAGTGAGTCTGTTCACATGATCTGACAGTTGTCACGTACATGTTCTGGGGCCATGACCACATTTACTTCAGTCTGGCTTTGTTTTCGCTATAACAATTTCAGAACATTTCTTCAATAGAGATTACCCTGAACTAAAAAAGTTATGAGAATCTAAGAAAAAAAAAATAAAGATTAGAATATCAGAAAAAAGGTTACAACTTTTTATTCTCTATCACACCTCAAAAGTAATGTAGTGTATATGACTAGCAAAATTTAGCATGCTTTTAAAAACAGTATTTATTATAAAAATAACATACTTTACATGAATATACTTAAGTATGAGCTGAATGTAATATTTTTGGATACTTAATTGCATATTAATGCAATAAAGTTAAAATATATTAAATTTATGTTAAGTTGGACTTTTTATATGTTTTTATGTTTTTATGTTTTTACATTTTTATATGTAATTTCATAATTCTATTGTCTTTGAAATAAAGTGTACTGCCAAATGTACTGATAAGTATTAATAAACTAAAATATAATTTAATGTAATTTCTATTGAAACCTGTATGTCTTGTATTTAAACATTTATTTTTAATTACACATTTCTAATAATGAAGTTGCAATTTGGTACATAAAAATCTGTAACTTGAAATGTTGTATTGAAAAACACACTGGAGGTAAAATTCTAGTCAAGTACTTTACCTTTACTTTAGTATGTTAGTCAACACATCAAAATAAGTGTACTTTAAAGAACAACAAAAGATTATTAAAACATAATGATTTAAAATGTACTTTAAAATAAAACTTTGTATTCGACATTATTACAAAGTGATCTTTTTAAAAGTGCAAAGAAATAGTCACAATACTGTGCATACATCTTTTGCATTATTTTGCTTTAAAAAAACAACAGTGCCAGTTTAAGGAATTCAAGGAAATTTGACCCCCCCCCCCTATCG